TTAACCGTCGCCGCCATTGTTTTGCTTGGGGAGGAGGATTCTGGGTAACAGTATTCCGCTGACGACATTATGGGGGCAAAATCCAAGGAAGATGAAGAGTGTGTAAAGTGTGTGTGTGGGGTTTTGAAACTTCTCTGACAAAGAGGATTTTATTAGTATTTTATTAGGGGAAGAAGAGGATTTTGTTAATCCCTAAACGCGCGTTTAATTGTTCGTGGATCTTTGATTTATTGGGTTTTAGAAAAGGTTCAGAATCTGTAATGAATGTGAATTAGATCTAAGGATTTTCCTTGATTTTTTTTTTTTCATTTCTTTCTATTGATTACCTACCATATGTTTAACCACGTATACATTGTGTTATTAGTGAGCAAGCTTCCATTTCTCAAAAGATGTGATTTCTTTCTATATTTGGTAGATACGTTACGTGTGGATGTATGACTGTTTTGGACTTTAGGTTTGTAATCTTTGTATTTAACGCTTAAGTTTTTCCATATATACTTAAAGATCTTTGTAATCATGCTTTCGATCCTACTTCAAATTTACCACATTTTTTTAACAAAAATGTCACAAAACCTTTATTGGTTTTTCCTAATACATTGTACTCATGCTAGTGTGTATCCCATGTAATATTCCACCAAGGTAATTTATGGTAACATATCTCGGACAGCAAACTATTTTTTGTTTCCTGATAATGTCCCCTTTCTTTTATTACACTACAAAATATGTTATAACCAGTAAAAACATATACTCTTATATCATTTACTCTGACCGGGAATCGTTTATAAAACCGAATCCGGGTGGAGTTAAAAACCGGATTGGAGTTAAACCGCTAAAACCGGCCAAAAACCGGTAAAACCGATAACCCGGTTTGATATAAAAATTCAGTTTAACATATTTTAAGTTAAAATTTGTTTTTTTAGGAAACACATTATGGTTTAGAGCTAATACTTAAATAACATTGAATTCAAACTAATTGTATGTTTGAAAAAAAAAATGCATTTATTGCTATTTGTAGTTTCCAATTATATGGAAAACTAAAAGTTTCCCAAAATCATCCCTTAAACCAACGTAATATTTTGTTTTAAAATGAATTATCATGCATGTTACTAGTTTTATAGTAACAAACTCTACGTGGAGGTTTAAAT